GTCCACTGACAGCTGAAGATTTTCAAGTATTAAAAATAATCCTTATATATAAAATTATGCTACTATTGAGCATCTAAAAATGGGGCACATGCTATAAAAATCTATACAATTCCTCAGCAGTTAATGAAATACTTTTGTTAAACCTCTTAAAGCTTAAAGTTTGCACTTCAATCACATCTTTATTGTTTGATTTCAAATCCACTGTGGTGGTATAAAACAGCGCTCCGACCTTTTTTTGCGCCACGGACCGGATTATGTCCGACGATATTTTCACCGACCGGCCTTTGAGGTGTCACAGATACATACAACAAAATAAAACCAGTAACAATATTTCACACCCGAGCCTCAACTCTCGCAGCCTGGTACCAAACGACTCACAGACTGGTATCGGCCCGTGGCCCGCTGGTATAAAAGGTAAAACTACAAAGACAAACAAAAATAAATAAATAAATACCTGAAAACACTTGGTTTGGTTTAACCCTTTGCCAATGTGTCTTGATGCATCCACTGCAATGATCAGAATAGCCTTTATAAATATTGGCTGGGTATTTCTTATTATCATGAGATTTTGCACAGGAGGAATTGATGAAGAGGCCAATCGCAATAGTTCTGGTCTGCATCGACCTGACGTGTGGTTACATTTCTAGACAGGAGAACGTCAGGTTACGCTGTAGGTTATGGCATCGGGCAGGGGTGGGAAGTCCAGGCCTGAAGGCCTAGATCTCACCCTGGGTCAACACACCTGAATCTAATGATTTGTTCATTACCAGGCCTCCGGAGAACTTCAAGACATGTTGAGGAGGTAATCTAGCCATTTGAATTAGCCGTGTTGGATCAAGGACATCTAAAACCTGCAGGACACCGGCCCTCGAGGCCTGGACTTCCCCAACCCTGGCACGGGGTTTGAGAGGCGTTTGTGGTTACGATGTAGCTACAGCATACATTTCATACTGAAGCATAAATCTCCAGTTAGACCTCTAAAACCAAAGTAAAATGAACAAACCCACTCTGGAAAATAGCTGAAACTAAACTGGACTCACAAAAGAAATGACAAAGAAAGTAAAAATCAAAAGTAATAAAAAAATGATTATATAAATGATTATATTCTCATGACTTCTATCATAGGCAGTTTTCCAGACACGGTTGAAGTCTAGTCCCAGAAGAAAAGAAAAATTCAATGAAGATCTCTACCAAAAAAACAACCAAAAAACAAGTTTGTGGTCTCACAGCAGGCCTAATCCAAGTCAGGGAAACGGAGAACTATTGTCTTTCAGCATTTTGATTTGTGTCTGTTGAAGCTCAGATCAGTGATCTGTGCAGTTTGTGGAATCTCATCTTTCTCGTGATGACGGATGTGACAGACATGCAGTTTAATTTACATAACCAAGGTCCTCCAGCTTGAAGGTTAAGCATCGCTGGAAGCCTGTGGCTGCTTGATAGCAGTTCTCACCACCCACGGCGTGACTCTGAAGAGAAGAATTGGTGGGTATGGATGTATTTGCATTATTCTTGCCTTCTGTGACAACAGTGCTGTGAGAGCTGCACTGTTGATCGTCAAGTTAGGTTCTTGTAAGGACTCAGAAGGATGAAAGTGATTGCCCTTGAAAAGTCACAGATTCAAAATCTCCCACAGGCTGCCCTCATCAGTGTGCTCAGAAGACTGTGCAGTCCTTGGACCCCAAGGAAAGGAAGCAATGAAGAGGCTCAGCCTTTGTTGCACTCTGCTTTTCTATAAAAGATGATTTTAAGATTCCCGTCGACAGATATTTTCTGCCGGCCATACCCCGTTCCAGAATGATTATTTAAACAAATAGTGGGAATTAGCAGGATCTTACTTAAGGGGAGCTGTGATACTTGTGTAATACTTGTGTTAAGCTTCATTAACTAACCATTGACATTGAGCTTCAAGGCTGAATTCCTCATGAGAAGGCTCAGACAGAAGAAAATCGCTGCCATTCTCAATGAGGTTTTAAGTGACTCTTCTGATTTGGTGCTGAATTTCAGCACTTGATCACAGCCAAACATCTCTACAATGGTTCAGATACACGCTATTCTGCTATTACCGCCCTATCGAGTGTTGGCACAATTACTTCGTGGGCTGCATGAGATGGCTCTGAATCACTATCAGTCATCATCACACATCCCGTTTGTGTAGGGCCAGAAAATCTGATAAGGTTTGTTTAGCCTTACTTTGTACATATTGTTTGATATTCAGCAGCCACACAAGCAAATACTATTTATCATTCATTCACTATTAAACTGCTTTTGAGTTTTATTGCTTGAGCTGCGACTGAAGTCTATTAAATGCAAGTTTCGGGAGTATTTCTGTGCTGCTAAAGACAAAAAGTAGCTCCCTTTTGATATTTAACGAGACAGGTACAGTAAGCCTTCAGCTATAGCCAAGGAGCTCAAAACTTTTTGACAGTCCAAGGAAAGTTTTCCATATTTACAATGTTTTAGCAGGAAAGTTAACCTGATTTTTTATTTACATTAAATTTATGTTGTTGAAATCAAACCAAAAAAAGTTTCCTCTTCACTGGGTGTACATCAAAACAACTGGAAGAAGAAAGGAAAGCGTTTAAAGGCTTTTGCAACTTTCAGGCACTAAAGGCATCTCCAGTGTTCATGGTTAAGAAAATATATAAAAACTAAATATTTGGATTTTTCAATTGAAACTGGATTCTTCTCTAAAACTGAAATTAAACAGAAGAAGCACTAGTTAGTTATTTGTCATTAAAATTAATGTCTTTTCTACAATCAACCCGCCTGTGGCAAGAAAACAGAACTAATTTACCACATGTTGGTGGGCTCAAGCACAGCAACACAACAATTCACCATTAAAAGTTGGAACCACTCACGTCGGATACTATGGAAGGGAATAACTACAAAATTCCAGATGTTCCACAGAAGCAGCCAGCAGATTCAATCACTATTTCCTTTCAATAAAAAAGTATTTAAAAAGAATCCCAACATTAAAAATAATGCTGATTCTGAAAGGGATAAGTGCCTTTGAACAGGTGAAAAAAGAAAAATAAACAAATACTACTGGGAAGGACTATTTTCTGTACTAACAGGGAAGTCTATGTAAATGAGTACATAATTAAACTGATATACCAAATATTGGGATATAACATCCGATGATTTGGAATATCGGGTTTTTAAATCACTAAATATCAGTATCTGTCCTAAAAATGTTGTAATTCAAATTTTAAAGCGATTAAAATGCCAAATTTAAAGGGGGAGAGGTGGGAACTGGGGTCCTGTTAAATCTAAATCCTATGCCTTATGATAGATATCCCATCATCCTATTATTATTCCTTTTTTTTTTTTATCTTCAACAATTTTTATTTAATTTTGAACTCCAATAACAAAACAGAAAACAAACAGACAAAAAAAGTTATCATATTCTTTCGTCTATTATTCCTTTTTTTAATGTTACTGATTGTCTCTCTACTGTATTCAGGCTTTAAGTTAATAACACACATGTACTGAAGAAAAAAAGAAAAAACCACATAGAAAACAAGACGTGTTCGTGATATTTACTCTAACTTTTTATTTATTTTAATTTAAACAGAAATGACTATTACTCAGACAGTTTTAGGCTTAAACCTACATTAGGCTGTAGTCTCTAATAAACTTAAAGCTAAGTAAGTGTGTGCTTCATTTCTCTGTCTGTGCATGAAGCAAACAGCGTACTCACAGTACAAACTGACACGATGGACATCAAAACGCATCATTCACCAGTTCACCTTTCCACCAGTAGAGCGCAGCCAAGACACACACAAATCCCACTACTGTGCTCACACGACAGATTCAGTTTCATATCACTAATCCAAGGCACTAACTAATTTATGAAAACCACTTTTCAAAAAAAGAACCATGGGGAGGCCAAAAAACACCTGTGGTCATTAATTATGCTACAACAGTGAGTTTAACTGTGGAAAAGGTAGCAGCTTATAAATTATGCCATGCTGCCCCAATTCACAGACTCGTCCAGATACGTCTGTGTCCTGGCTGAAGAGTACTTCCCATCCAAAAGTGGAATATTTATGCGGAATGCTTTGTTCTTTGACGGCATACAGACAGCTGAATTTCGGATTCCAGTGCACACCTCTGTGTGAAACCTTTCGTCGGATTCAGTGTCTCAGTTTTACAGGTTAATTGTAAGTACTGCTGTAATACAATGTTGTGCTGGTTGCAGAGGGAACTTGAGGTTTTGTCAAATCATGAAAATTTAATTTTTTGATGTACCACAAAAAATGTTCTGAAAGACTTGCCAGTGGTGTTTGTTTTTCAGAGGAAAGTAGTCAAGCTGGAGGCCAAGTTAATGCAGCTGATATATCAGAAACCACTTTAGGCTACGTTTACCAGCCAAATGGAAGAACAAGCAAAAAGAAAAAGAAAAAAAAGTCAGCTTTAGCTGCTAAAATGTTTCCTCAGTGCAGGAATGTGGCACGCAGGCCTTTTTCTAAAAGACTCTTTTGCTCAGATGTATTTTTAACAACAGCAGCAGCCATGTTCCAGATGGATAATCCAGCGTAGTTCAATGCAAACTGAATTTCAGCACTGATTGAGAATGAAGAATCTAGTTTGATAAAAATGGATCGATGTAAGATACAAAACATCTTTGCTAATGTATGATACTATTGACTTTACATGCTTTGCAGTGTCCGTGTAGGTTTGCAAAGATGAACAGAAAAGCTGGCAAACATAATAAAACTTTTATCCCCCAACAAAGCTGCTTAAATTTATTTTTGCAAAGACTGAAAGTTTTGTTCATCAAAGATCATGGCATTAGACTTTCAAAGACTCTAATCCAGTGGAAAAGATAAAAAAAAAATAAAGCCAGTGCATTTCAAACCCTAAGAATGTGTCCTCAGGAACGCATATTTGATTCCCGAGATGAACCTTCCTTATGGCATCGAGCCTGTCGTTAAATCCCCTCCAGCCGCTGAAACACAAAGAAGCGTGCTCTGCTGCGTGAGCAGCATTGTCTTTACCTGGGGTTTCCAGTGGAGAGGATGGCTGTTGAGCTCAATAGCTCCTCATACAGATCAGCACCTGACACAGGAAATGCTGTGTGCTGGGCTAGCAGCACTCGGCGGATGGCAAACAGAGCCTGAAATAGAAAAATTACAGCATATGAGGCTCACACAAATGTTGCATGGATCAGCTGCAACACAAAAACTCGGTGTTGCCAGATTGGGGAGTTTTATTTCTAGGCCATTTTAATTATAATCCAAATGCAAAAATTCAGCTTGTCTTCATGTGATTAGAAGGATATTTTTTAATAATGCCCTCATTCATCATTTGCTTCATAATTAAAGTAAATGCCAGATCTTGGTTTTGCTCCATGTCATATCACTTTAGATGGAATAAAACAAGTTGAGACAGTGATATCGTGGATTATTTTTTAAGCTTCATTTTGGGCATACTATCCAAATGGTTGCAGGGACTAGCAGTTAGTTTAATTAGCGAATCAGCTCAGTTTCTGCCAGTATTCCAGCTCAGCCGCTACAAATGAGTACAACTTAAAGGAAAGAGCTGAACCCTTGACCCCAGCTGTGAGGCGATCTCTTGACTCTTTTAAGCTGTAGGGGACATTTTTCTTGCATGGTTTGGATCCACTTCTGTTGACATAAAGTCAAATCAGTACAAAGTTGTTCTGAGTGATCACCTTTAACCTACAATGAAACATTTCCATCCTGATAGGAGCGACCTTTTCAGGATGATAATGCCCGCCCATCCAAAGGGCACCAGCTGCCCCAGAATGCTTTGGTGTGTGTGAAAATGATGCAAATCGTATCCTAACTTTGAAGTTAAAAACTCTCAACACAATTGATGACGTCCATGTTAGAAAATGCTCACCACCTCCACCACATCAACACCGTCTCAAGATAAGTCAGTCGTAACGTGGCATTCAAAGTCTGACCTTCTCATTACCACCAGCAATCAATTCGAATTGCAAAGTCACGACCAACATGTAGGAAACATGCATGTCAGACGCCACTAAATAGACAGGAAGCAATAAGCTGGACACAACAATGAGCAGCTTATTGAGAGATTGCAATAACAAGAAATCCATCTGAACTAACCAAAGAGCCATCATGGGACAGTTGGTCTAACTTGGCTCCGATGTTGACTAAACAAGAAAAGCAGGTGAATCATCTCCACAAATGTCAACGATAGCACTGGGATGCCAGTCCCTTTGATGGATATTTCTTTTTAATTAAAAAGTGTGTTTGCTTTGGAAATCTTTTTTTCCATGAATCATTTTCTGAGCTCATGTCAAAGCAATATTTATTTCCAACTCAACAGCTTCTTGATTGTTAGCAAGTTATACCGCTTGGCAATTAGTGTTTAGTGCTTACTGTATTCAATTAGCCAATTTTCTTATGTTGGTTAAAACCCCCAATATATATTTGTTATAATTGCCGCAAAGCAGCACCTGCTAACAGGCAAGTCGTACTCACATGTGAATACAAGTGAATGCTAGGACAGGAGGTGGTAAAGTCTAGGCTTAGCTAGGTCGCCGCAACCAACCTGAAGTAAATTCAAAAGACTGTAAAATAAAGACCACGTCAGGACCACGCTTAATGAAGACGAGTTGGTGCAACCGACCCCCAGTGACAGAATATAGTGTTCAAAGAAGATATTCGATTTCTCCAGTAGAATTAGAGACATTTTTAAAAGGCACACTGAAGCTGTCCTGCTATAATAATAACCAGTCGGCATCATCTTAGTCTTTGTGTTGGTATTACGTTGAGATAGGGGCACCAGCCAAGCAACAGCTTCCTTCCTTTCTTTCTCTATTCTTAATTCCACCGGTGACACCGATAAGCTATCCTGACACAGTATTATTACGGTGTCACTGTATAAGAAGTGTTCTCACTGCCCAATACATTTATCAGGCAAAGTACCAGAAGTGAGCCAGTCATGATTACAGCGGGGGTATCTTCCTTTAACAGTCGTGTCTGAATGAAGGCTCCCCTAAGACGTGGACGATTTTTACTCTGACCTTTACTTTGTGTGTGCAGATCTCGTTTGTGCCAACAGCAATGCCAAATATCAACGTTGGGTAGTGGGATTGAACACGTAGCACCCAAGCCTTTACCTAATGCAGAGACTCCCTATCTGAGTCACTTCAGTAACACTTTTTGTTAACATTTTTGTGTTTTCTTCAATACTTTCATTGTTCTTGTAAATTCAAATGGACAATAATGTCTTAATAAAATTAAATTATACTACACAGATCTCTTACTTAACATAGAAAAATAGGTAACATCATACAAGTTGCTTAGCTGGCAAACAAGTCTCTATAGATTCTTTACCCAGTGTTACATACAGTTAATTTCTCCCTTGCTTTCTTGCTCCAGATCTAATAATGTTAAAGACGCGGGTGTATGTAGAATAGAATACTGCTAACAATTCAATACGTCATTATTGCTCTCCCATGCCATCATCCCTCATGATCTTTGGTTTTCTGTTTTAAATAAAACATCCCTGCATGTGTGCACAGAGCTGTGTTTAGCTTCAAGTTTACTGTAAAACTCCGACCGTATTCCACTGGCTCCTCCAGCATCACAGCTGCACAAGAATACTGCTCACTAACCAGGCTGATGTGTGATGCTACCGCAAAAATATCAAATGCTGGGCAGTCCAGCTTTCTCTAGAAAGAGCACTTAATGTTGTTAAGCAGAGTTAAACTCTGATTAGTCTCTCCTTCTGGGCAGAGAGGATTTCCTGTTAGACTTCATGCCCAACAGCTGAAATTTATTTAGGGAAATCAGACAAATCTGTTGGGTCTCAATTAGTGGGAAGAAGGTTGGCACTCCAAATTTGGCTTGTGGGCTCATGAGACAGGTATGTTTTTACATGAAAACTTTGTCTCGTGTAGCTTTAATTTAACTGTAGGAGGGCGCTTTAGTCAGATAAATGTATAGGTGACCTAGCATTGACCTCATCTCTGTTGTGTGGGCAGGACAACGGTTCAGATCAACAGCAGGAGTCTGATGGAGCACAGGGATGCTCGGTAATCAGCTCAGGGGATGCCTGCAGGCTGAGCAAGCTGGTTAGAAAGTCTAGCTCGGCCACTGGGATGAGCTTGAGCCTGCTGCAGGCAGTGATGGGAAAAAAAACCAATATTTGAAAAGCATAATGATCTAATGGGGAAAACATCTTCAAAGTCTCTCTCCATTATAAAAATGCATTTTGGTCATTATTTCTCTTACACGCTTTACTGTACAGAAACAGGAAGATGTATTTGTATTTGTATTCTATTTTTATCTTATTGTATATTTATTTTATTGTATTCTACTGTATATAGTATTTTATTCTATTCTATTCTGTACAGTTGTGTACTGTATTTATTCTTATTGTATTCTAATTTTTGCCTCATAACTTTTGCACTGTCCACTTCCTGCTGTGACAAAACAAATTTCCCACGTGTGGGACTAATAAAGGTTATCTTATCTTATCTTATCTTATGTTTTTCAAATTAGTCAGGTGAAGGTTTCCTCCATGAAACTGGCTTTAAAAATGTAGAAAGTGAAATTACAGCGAGGCTATATGGAGAGATATGGTGGAAGTGTAGAAGTATGGAGACAGCATAATTTATTTTGCACCTTTCTAAATGTTCTCTTGCAATTTCTTAGCTTTTTAATCCCCCTGGGGCTGCAAAATTTTCATCCTATACATGTTCAGTCTGCATGTCCAGACACAGAGACCACAGAGGATGGTTGACTGACGGAAATGCTCACTCATCTTTTTACCAAGAAAGTCTGGGTTGGCTTCAGTGTCCCATCCACCCACACAAGTACTCCCCGATACACTTTTATTTATAAAACCCTCGCGGGTACCCTTCATGATCATTTGTGTTCTTATATCTCTGAAAAGTTTGGTGGAAAACACTATTCATGGTCTAAAAAACATAGTTTACCGTTATCTGCCCAGAAGGCCAGTTCTGAGTTAGACAGGATTTCTTTCATGATCTCTGCCTTTTTTCTGGTTCTCACTGCACACTGATTTAAAACTAAGAGAGCTGACCTATCGTTGCAGGTTCAGACTGATAATGAAGGACTTTGTGGGGGAACTCAGAAGGAGGTTTTTAGCTTCTTTTTTAGCTAGAAAGTTTTTCACCGTTTATCATTTTCTGTGGAAATATAGATATCGCTTTCATTTCTTTTTAGATACATTTTTCATGCTGATATTCTATTATATCAACACAAAGCATAAAACCAGTTTTAACTGCAGATCTGGACAAAAAATATAGGAAAGGATAGGAAGCAAATGTGATGCTTAACCTTGATTTAACCCAGTAATAAAAAGCAGCCCTTCCTGGCTTGTTAACCAAATGAGCTTGTTTGCAGTGGGTATATATATAATGCACCCAGTGGGAGGTCTGCTTCCATTATGGATGACTTTAAAAAAGAAGGTATCCCACATAATAATATAAACCACTTACACAATGGGAAACTCATGCTGCATGTGGTAGTGTGTATCTAAGCTCAGGAAGATACTGGCCTACAGTGTTTATGCCAGCTATAACATGTGGGTGATCTCTGTGTTAATTTAAAGGGCATCTTTTAAGCTAATTTCCTAATCTAGAATTTCAATTCTTGGACTTATGCTAGAATAGCTTTGCAGGACTCACACCCACAAAATTTTATCTTATCTCCCATCTAACCTTTGTGCAGCTCCTTAGTTCATCCACTTTCTCAAACATGCCCTTTTAGACAACTCTCTGCTGACTGGCTGGACCAAACAAACAGGTCTCATAAAAGCTGTGCACCTGAGATGACCAAATTAAGAAGATTTACTCTCTTTGACATCACACCCAGCCAAGAGTAGAAAAAAAACTGTCTGAAATTGCAGGTTTAAAGCAGTTGCCTGAGCTTATGACTCATAGGGATTACTTGTACATACACGGACCTCATTATAAGAAAGTTTGGCCATGTTTAATATGGACTGTGGCAGAAAATGAGGAGCAGCATTACAAGCCCACTTTAAATTCCTTCCTAACACCACTAAATAAACTGCTGTGATAGGGATAATTTCGAGGCAGCACCCCGATTAAATTGGAGTAATATGTTGGGTAAGCTGGAAACTGACAGTGCACTCTTGTAAGGGTCACTATATCGTGTTTTTAGGGATCTATGATTAGGATTAAAGTATACATACCTTATAGGATACAGAACATTTCTGAGCAAGGCCCTCAATGTCTGATGAAACCAGGTCCTCCACTGTGAAACCAAGAAATCAGATGTGTTATCGATAACTTGTCTGTGATTAAGCTAAAACGGACACATTGCCCCACAAACTCACCTGTTTTAATATCAGCAGCACGAAGGTCGCGTAATAAGTCTTCATCCAGTCCAGGACACATCCCCTCTCTTAGTACGACCATGGTCTTGCATATTTTAAGATTAATTCATATGTGACTGAAAACATCAGGACGCATGATGAAGCTTCTAGTAAAAAGAGGTTACCTAACTAACTATACATATGCCGCTAGCTACAGTTGTTTTTAGCTTTCCCAGCCAGTTGTTTTAGCTTTGCGGCTAACTTTGGCAAACTCTTCCGCTGTTTGCGTTGTTAAAGTCGGTATAAATAACCGTTCCTAACATTTAAAACTTAACAACACCAGGTGAACTGACACAGGCACACTTCTACAAAAACTTCTGCTTAACTTCGTTATTAGCGTACGCGGAGGCGAGGGAAAATACGCGAAGGCTTGTTGCTTGCCGTAGGATATTTTGCACTCATTCGCTTGTGGGTAATGTAGTATACTGTTGTTAAGGCGTACGTTAGCCTATTTTTGCATAGTATTTAACACACCTGTAACTGTCGTGGACTTAAACGATTTGTCTTCATTAAATCTTTGACTTAAACGAAAAACTGAAATAAAGTTGTAGAAAAAAAGACATTTTCTTGGCTCTCTACCTCCCGGTCTAACATACCCCGCCTCTCCCTCCCTCATAGAACACGTCACTCATACATGCAGGGTCTTGATGGAGGGTTGTAAGTGGTGTCGATCACAGTGGGTAGAGCCATTCACGTGGCTCTGCTGGCTGTACTGCGGCGACCTGCCCCTCCTTTTTAATTACACTATAGTCATTATGGTTCACAACATCACCACAACCATAGAGCCTTGGGGGCAGGTGTGTTAACTAGAGACTAATGGGTGGGGTTGCTACCATAGCCCCATTCAACCCTTCACTGCTATCTGTCCCTTAATTTTATCTGCAACTTAAACATGGAGGGTCTTGGGGATGGGTGGAGGTGGGGACTAGCACTACTGTTCAGCAGAGGGGTGCTTGTGTCACACCCAGCACTAGTTTTCATATAGCAATACTCATCTTGTACACTTTGTACACTCACACTCCACAGCACACCTGCACAACATAGCACATTCAACACTGACTGGAGGGGCATCTTCCTAAACCCCTGTTCCACACACCCTGCCAGGTACGGTGGTCTACGGGTGGTTTGTTTGGTGCTTTGGTTGCATCTCCATTAGATCTGTGTGCATGTCCCTGTATGTTTCCGTGTGTCATTAGTGGTTTGGTGGGTGGGTATGTGAGTTAGTGAGGGAATGGTGAGTGTGTGTGCATGGCTGGGCTTGTGTCTGAGGCTTGCTGAGCCTTGGCCTCTATGGAACATGGTTATGGAGGAAGGGGTTCATCCTCCCCACTGCTCCCTGCTGGCCACTGCTACCCCCCCACTGGGCTGCAAGCACATGTTGGTTCCAGGGCACGTGGCTGGGTGTTCTGGCGTGGTCATTGACCAACTCCCTTGGTGATCCAGAGTGGCTTGGACTTCATCCGTGTCAGGGGGAGGGGGTTCCTCTGGATTTATCTCTGTCTGCCTCTGGCACCAAGGGGGCGTTATTGCAAGTTCCCATCCTCATTTTCAGGTACATTTTCTCTTTCTCACACACACACACCACAAAAAGACTATTGAAGTGTCCCAGGTGTTGTATATTTGTTTTGTATATTTTTATTTGTACTCTATCCTTTTATAATGTCTTCCCCCTCATTTTTTTTCTTGCCTGTCCTGTCTTAGACATAGTCATACTGTGTATACCACATATAATGTAATAAGTGAAATAACAGGAATAGAAATGAAGAAATAAGCAGATAAACCCTGAACAAGGGAGCCTGTAGAGAATTTGTAGAGCTGATCTTGAAGAAGTAAGCTGTGTTTGGGACAACAGCACATTGAGATCATAATTCTGATTGCAAAAGGATTTAAAAGAAAATGCTACATTCTAGTGGATAACAAGGTGATTGGGATCTGGAAGGTATTGTTTCTGCAGCCCTTTCTTTTTTCTTTTAATGTATTTGTTTTACTTAGATACTCGAATTTTCAACATAGTAAGTGGAAAACTTAGATTTTTGGCATTTTCTAAAGTTTTGTAACTCTAAATTTCAAAATAACTATGAAAAACTTTTGAGTTATTTTCTAAAAGGTTTTGAGCTATTAGCTTTTTTTTCCAGTGACAAACTTCCATAGATTGAGTTTGGATAAAAATAATAACCGACAGTCTATACGGGTGAAAGGTTTGGCATCAATCACATGAAAAACAAATTCTGGCAGAAAAGAAAAATATGTATTTATTTGAATGCAGTTTTCCAGCTTATAGTAAATTGTTTTTTATTGTCTCAGGGGATGGTTTTCCACACTCAACTATTCCCTTTTTTTCTGTTGCATTAAAGCCTTTGTTATCTGGTGAGACGCTTGAATTCACTTTCATGAACAAAAGCAAGTCAAAATTTCCGTCCTTGGCTCAAAATGCTGTTTAATCCCAAAGCGATTCTGTTATAAAATTACACACGTGATAAATAAGAAAATGAAGAGAAACAAGTGTTACAGCCGTGACATAAGAATATCTATATTCTTCTATTCTTTGCTTCAAGGAAATAAAGCCTCACACAAACTCCATTTTGGATTTTGTTTTTTTTTGGTCTATAGATTTGAAGGAATTTTTTTAGGTTTTACCTTGTCCCTTCTGCAAGAATCAGAGTTATCTCAAGTGCAGAAGTAGTCACAGCACTTTGGGCACTGAGTGTCCTGAGTGCCCTGAGTGCACTTATCTTAAGAGTGACCTCTTACCGAACAATACAGCGATCATAACTCTGTCACATGCTCATCATCACAAGCTCAAAAAGGAACTGACTGATGCTCAGCTGGCACTCTTTCAACACATCTACCCGATTTCTATCAGTGAATGTGTGCTCTGCTCGGATGTGTTTCTGGAATGAAAGGGCAGTATCATTAGTACAGCTTTTATTTTGTCCATAAACAATATAATTTCTTCTGTAAGCAAATATTTCCCAGCCTGTATGAAACAAGGACACTATGCAGACAAGCTGTCATTTTTTTTATACCTAAAAATCTTATTTTCTTCAGTTATTCAAAGTAATAATTTTCCTAATCTACAGGCAGAAGGGTGTGCTCAGTTTAAAATTTCATTCGCTGTGTGCTATATAAATAAAATTAGATTTATTAGATCTGATATCCCATGGAAGGGATACAAGACAAAATATGATTATGTCAGAGAGCTATAAAGATTCCTCAAGAAACCTTTTACGTTCCTAAATGAATTACATTAAAGTTACGGATAAAGAGCAGATACAGGTTAATCACTTGCTGAATAAATGATGAAGTTTAGGTTTGCACTGGTTTAGTTTCTGCTGTTCACTCCATTACCGAAGGCCTTTTCTGAAAGGTTATTTTTGTTTCCTGAACCAAATCCTTGTGTACATACTGTGGGCGTATATAAAGGAAACAAACTGGTCCGTGAGGTGCACAGTATGTTGTAAGACGCCCTTTTATTTAAGCACTTAACTTAAATCTCATGCATGAAAATATTTTCTCATTTTTTTTTGCTAATATGGCTTAAAGTTGATCTCATTGATACTGAAAGCAGGATAAGGGCCAGAGGTGTCGAAGAAAATGAGGTGAAATGTTGTTTTAAATTTGTACGTGTGTGTGTGTTCTTGTGACTATAAACCTAAATTTAGTGAAAGAAAGTTAGAAAGCTATTTAAAATGACGCAGCGCCGCAGCAAAGGGAGGCTTAACTTGTATTTGACTAAGCAGATGATCAAGAGTGGCTCATGCTGGATTCTGTGAACCGTGATTGGTTTTCAAAGGACACAAGATGGCTTGAGCTGCTGGCAGGGTGCTAAGATATTTGTTACAAGCAAGAAAAAACAACCAGGACTAGAACCCCCCCCAAAAAAAAACAAACAAACAAACAAACAAACAAACAACTGCGGTTCCTGGAGTAGCCACTTGAGGCTGACTCAAAAAGTGAGTCAATCCTCGTACCCTCTGACATTAAAATGACTAACTTTCTAGCATTAAAAAGCCTTTGGGGCATTTGAGAGTACAGGTGAGATATCTATATCTATATCTATATATATATAGATATAGATATAGATATCTATATCTATATCTATATATATATAGATATAGATATCTATATCTATAGATATAGATATAAAATATTGCTCACCTGTGTGGAATCTGTTAGGTTTTAAAGTTAGGAGTGTGGCTGAAGTGTGCTGACATAGACATGACATGTAACCAAGCAGCATTCAGTAGATATGTGTGTCTGTGAGTGATGTCAGTAGAGTTTATGAGTGCAGCTTGCTGATCAGGCTTGCTTTAGCAGGCTAGTTATAAATGAACTAGGCTAGTTGTAAGCCTAGTGCATATATAACTATGCACTCCACCCTCTCTTTCAACTATGGCGATCTCTGGCTCCAGAAAGCCAACATGATATCAACATAAATGTCCAGAGTTTTCAATATGATGAGTTCAGACCCATGGGTGATGGCACGGTGTCTAGAATGCACGGTTAAACATTTTAAATTTTAAAAATATTTTGCTGTTTTTTATTTATTTATTTATTTTTACCAGGACTTCAGGTTCCTTTTTGCAACATGTAGGTAGGTTTGGATCTGCTCTGCTCTTCTCTTTCTGCTGTTCTACTCTGAAGCTCAATTCCTACAAATATATTTCAGCACTTTCAGTTAAGCCTTGTAAAACGAATCCGGTGTGACATCACAAAACCAATTCCTTAAACAAACTCAACCCAAACCATACATACAAATGCAGCTTGACTGGAACAGTGAAGCCTTCAGTGTTACTGTAGAAGAGCAGGACACTTGAAGGAACTGCAGCCAGTAGTTAAACATGAAAAGATGAGCTCAAACATTTCTCAACATCTGAATAAATGAATGAGTTCAAACAAAATCTGTCACCAGTGAGATGAAACAGGAGTTTAAAAAAAAAAAAATTCACCGTCTTCTCAAACTACCGAAATTAAATGTTGAGCTGTGGTGCTTTTAATTAGTTTGAGGCAAAAGCCAGTCACACAAAGTGATGCTGTTTGTTGGAAATCATATGGCAAAGAATATCTGCTTTGATGGAAGATAATCTTATCAACACACGGTCTCTAAAACAGTTGTAGGAGAAGGCAACTGAAATGCAGTCAAACTCGTAAAGTGTTAGGTATGTCCAGGAAAAAAGAAAATACTTAAGTTTGTAGATTGATCTTAAAAGAGCATATTGAAAAAATGAAGAGGCCGCAGCACCACCTTTGCTCTAACTGCACCAACCCCAGTGAGCGGAAGTTAATATGCATAGGACAGTATGGGGAAAAAAAACTTAAAATGGCTTCGATGTCTGAAGTATGAATGCTTAAAAAAAGGGAGACCCCCTTGTGATCTGTCAGCATACCAAACCCAGCAGAGTAAATAATGGCTCAGTCCCATTTTTACCAAATGGAAGCAATGTTGCCATTTCAGCCTCACTTACGCGTA